CAGAAACTTATTTTTTCATAGATGTGACATGTCTGAACTCCTTATGTATACTGTTTGATCTGTCACAATTCATACAAAATAAATATTTTTATTACAAACTAACGTTTGTGGACCACTTTTATGAACTATCGAGGACAGCATAGGTGTGTATGTATATGTCTTCAAAATTGTTTAATACTAAATTTAGTACAATAGTTACTTAAATTACCTAAATACATAAATGATGGGTGGTAAATAACGCTCGAAAACCAATGTTGCATTACACTACACTAGAGATCAATCAATTTGAAGATGAATTGAAACAATTGAATGTTAATGATTAACAGTTACAAGCTCTGGGGACAAAAACTTAAACAAACAAAAGTTGTCATCATTTTTTTTTACCTATTGTTATTTGAAATGTTGACATTCTATTGACAAGTTTATACTTTTAACAGAGTTCGTTGGATGTCAAGTTGTTTTTGTCATTTTCCATATACTCGTATATATAAATGAAGCAAAACGCAGGCAACCGGATCTTTCAATTTTAAGTCTTGCAATTGTTGGCGTAATATACCATAACTATCATGTTCGTAAAGTTAGCCAGACAGCGGGATCAGCCGTAACAGCCTGAACGAATTTTTGTCTAGTCCGGCTGTTCCGGCTACTTCTGATAGCCAGTATCCGCGTCCGGCTAAATTGGCCAGCCAGAGAAGATACAGTAAAACCTGTGTAAAAGATCATTGGTTTATTTTATTATGTAATTTTATGTAAGTTACAACCATGAGTTTTTGCTATACCAGCTAGTCAGAACAACCAAAATAACGACTATTACTGATGTAAAAAAAATCGGACAACAAATTTAAAGATATAGTACTATGCTCACCCTTGGGTAAAATATTTTTATTTGAAATTTATGAAATTCTTATTGAATATGTGTTATTTGAAAAAAAGGAGAACGAATAAAGTATCAACGTGAAACTGATTTCCCTATTACAGGTCAAGTAATGTTGGTCTTTTCTTAATAAACTGGCATTTTTTTTAATGAAGCTATATTTTCATATTGTGAGTAGAGTTCCATACATAACATATTTATTTTGTATGAAGTCAAAACATGTTTATTTTAAAGTCATAAATAAACTGTGTAGCAATAATTGATATTTGGAGATATCAAATTTGAGGAAAGTATATCTTTAAGAATATGTTTGTTGTGTCTTGTGTGTCCGTCGGGAATATTCTGGTATTATAAGTGCGTTAAACGGAAAATCGAACTGTGACAGTTATGTCATCTCATATCTCGTCTCATTTCCGGCGGGCACCTGTGAGACCTAGGCATAATTATATATAATATAATAGTATAATAACTACATTTATTTTTTCAGCATGCATTTTAATCAGAGCCTAGACAACACAATACAACACAGTGATAAAATACACTGATTTAGCGTAGAGCGTAGACACGGGGGAGGAAGTGTTACACGAAGGATGGAGTTCTTATGATAACTTGTTTGGAGTTCTTATGATAACTGTCACGGAGTTCCTGGAAAACGTTACGGATTTCTGTGGAAAACTTTTCTATGTACTTTGAGAACTCGCGTAAAAATGGTTATTTTTAACTTTAAATGGGGAGTTTGAGGTGCTTAATTAAACTTTGATAATTAAGCTTGCGCTACATATTGTATTATGTTTCAGAAAAAAAATCTTTTAGTCAATATTTCGTCGCCGTTTAAAAAAATCTGGTAGTTTTGAGAAAAATTTCCGAATTACTCGCTAATTCGTTCATATTGACCTTTTCATTTGTGATCTTCTTCGTTGCTATACATAATCACCTAATTATAGTGGAGAGTTGCAAACATAAAGCCCGGGCTAATAAATGTATACCTGATTTTTCAAATGTTACGGAGTTCTTGTGATAACTCAAAATATGTCCTGGAGTTCTTATGATAACTTTTGTTACTGCCAGTGTGTTTCTTGTGCTTAATTACGGCACGTTTAAGCGTATTGTATTAGTCAATAAGTGTGTAAATCATTATGAAGCATAGTACGCTTATCATTTGCACAAAAATTTGGTTATATAACGTTGGTTTTGATCGTGTTTTAGTTCCTAATTAAATTTATGCGAAATCATATTGACATTATAAAACCCAACGAATGCACTGAATGTTTCTGTGTATACTGTTCATCAACAAAAGTTTTATGTCATAAGTTTCCGCAAATGCAACATTGAGGCCATGTGGCAAAATTAAAACACGATCATTCAATATATATGGAGAAGACATGAAACTGCTTTAGTGTACAGTCTACATAGGATAAACAGGCGCTAAGCTATCTTCAGGAACGACCGCTTCCGTGGTCGAGGGGTTTGAGTCGATGACTTCTAATCCAGTTACCTCTCTGGCGTGGGTTCGATCTCCGGGAGATGCTTTGGTAGTTTAGCACGGAGGAAGGTAGTCTAGTACTGGTGTAACTCTCCAGGAACGATGGTTAGGAAACTACCCGCGCATATAAGTGAAATACTGTTGGGAAAAGGCGTAAAATGAAACAAACAAACAAACAAAAATCTTCAGGAAAACCTGAATCAGCGGTCACCTGTATTCAGCAGTAACATGGCTTAAACTGCCAAGGAAAAATTGTTTAAAACTTACACTTTTTTCTCAGTTACATGTTTTAAGCAACCGCCTTTCTAAAGCAGACAATAAGTAGTTGGGCTTCCCTCAAGAAGCGGCTAAGTAAATTGTATCATTATATACCATGTATCGTATAGAACCGGGATACCCTTCACACCCATGCACCCGAAATGTATGATCTTTTTATGCATAAAAAATCAACCGATTACTACCGATCTCTTCGACAGATTTGCACGTGCCCTGTGGGTTCGAGCGAAAGAAGTTCGACAACATATTTTTGTAATCAATTACAGCAAAAGTTGTTGCAAAATTTCCACAACTAGGACTCCAACTTTGATAAGAAAAATGTATGCAGCAATTTTCCGAAATATGGAGATTGCTGTACGTCACGTGATGCTACATTGGATGTAATAGAGAAAGGAACAAGGTCGATAAACGGCATGAACCTTACGGTGACTCACATATCTTATTGAAGACTTACTTTCTATCGTCATATCATTGTCATAGAACTTTATACTTTTCTTTGACAAAAACTGATAACTTTTAGAAATTGAAATACCCGTTGAATACATAAAGACGACACCCACCTCATTAAATTTAGATAAAGGTAGTGCATAATACCTCCTATTTTGCTGAAAACCATTTACACGCATACCGATAGCATAGTTACTAAATGTTCTCTAAAACTGCCAGGAATAATGTATATATGAAGAAATCATGCTTGAGTATTAAATTCAAAGCGTATTTTTATCCTGTAGGTAAATGCTCTACATTAAGTATGTTTACAGTCATTCCAATAAAATTAAAAAAAAAAAACACACACACAAAAAGACCAAAACAAACAAACACAAGAAACGGAGGTAAGAAAAATATCTCTTGAACTGAAAAACATGATCAAAACCAACGTTATATAACCAAATTTTTGTTCAAATGATAAGCGTACTATGCTTCATAATGATTTACACACTTATTGACTTAAACGTGCCGTGATTAAGCACAAAAACACACTGGCAGTAACAAAAGTTATCATAAGAACTCCAGGACATATTTTGAGTTATCGCAAGAACTCCGTAACATTTGAAAAATCAGGTATAAATTTATTAGCGTGGGCTTTATGTTTGCAACTCTCCATAATAATTAGGTAATTAAGTATAGCAACGAAGAAGATCACAAATGAAAAGGTCAATATGTACGAATTAGCAAGTAATTTGGTAATTTTCCTCAAAACTACCAGATTTTTTTTTAAAAAGGCGACAAAATATGAACTAAAAGATTTTTTCTGAAACAAAATACAATATGTAGGGCAAACTTAATTATCAAAGTTTAATTTAGCACCTCAAACTCCCCATTTAAAGTAAAAAATAACCTTTTTTTACGCGAGTTCTCCAAGTATATAGAAAAGTTTTCCACAGAAATCCGTAACGTTTTCCAGGAACTCAGTGACAGTTATCATAAGAACTCCAAACAAGTTATCATAAGAACTCCATCCTTCGTGTAACACTTCCTCCCCCGTGGTAGAGACCACTTTCAAGGTAGGAACATTTACTGGGACAACTTTTCATTACAGAGCCATAAAGATAGCTTTTGCAAACATGTTGGTACAAGACGAGATGACTAGACCCAGTATTACGCAGTTTGACAATTAACCATTATATTTTTTTTCCATTTTCAGCAGACGCCATTATGTATCATGTTTTTATATTACAAATAAAGGAACAGTTTCGTTATTACAGTGTGAGGAAAGTAAAATACACATTAGTATGTTCTGACCAGCTGTTCTGACTTTTGTTTGACTCTTCACTGAGAAAGGGAGGTGTTAGCGGGGCAAATATGCCGGTGTTTTTTTGGCGCCAAGATGAACATCTGCGATATGTCCAAATCGCAGGAGAGATTTTACCACTGACATTGACTCTGTAAGGCGAGACCTTAACTATGGGTTTTAATCTCGACATGTCAATGCCCCACCTCTGACTGGTATAAAACAGGTCATGCTGGACTGTTTGATCCAGCATTCCTTAAATACAAGACACGGGAAAGAAATCGACAATTTTCTATTCCGAGAGATGGAATGTATTGCTTACTACACTCACCAAAGGAAGACGTAAGTTTACGGGAGTGAATATTTTTATCATCCTGGTATATTGATGAGTATGGCCTTCTGAATCTTGCAATAAATGTTTACGGTCTTATCATTTATACGAAACTATGTGAACGCCTTATGTGTCAATAGTCAGAACCAATGATCTGTTTAACTGTCTCTATAGAATACGCTAGAGGTGTCACATAAGGTTATTTTCTTCATTACCTCGATCCAGAAGTGGTCTAGATTAAAAGAAAATTATTCTTCCTATGTTAAGAGAATAAAAAAATATGAAAATTACAACACAAAGTCGATATAATTAAACATGTTTAATTTCATATCTAAATGAGTAATTCGTATTAAATGTACATTTTAGATACAAATACATCACAATAAAATATGAATGAAATATGATTATTAAAAAACTAACATAAGACTATAAACGAACGTACAGAGTGTTTTATGTCAGGAATGCAAAGGAGGAAAAACTGTATACTATATTAAAATCGATGTACCGTGACTCACCATGTTGTGTGTCATTTAATTAACAATCTTCGGCTTCTCGACCATCGTCACTTTTTCCTGAATCAGCGTATAAAAGACGAAAACGACTGAAAAGTTGCTATTTGACAACCTTTTTGGAGATTATAATTACATTATTATTTTTTTGAATATTCACCACCGTTTCTACTGTTTTCGCATTTTATACATAAAGCGTTACTTTGAGTCAGAGTAGAATAAATCTAGTCATCTGACTGCTTATAGTCTGGTCCCTGCGAAAGAGCAGGTATTGCAGACTGATTGCTGTCAAATAAAGGATATGGGAAATGACGAAGTTTGCCGACTTTCTACGAACGCTTGATCTTATACTATAAGAAACTTTTGAACATTTGCGTTGCAATTTTGCGAGATAAATAAAAAAATCATATATAATATATAAAATTGTTTTGCAAATATTTGGAATCAAAGATTATGACAGAATGTGTTACAATCATAATTTTTGTTTTTACATTGTATACATTGCTCAAAATAAACTCCTTTCTTCCCATTGAAACACGTACTTTTGTGAAACAATATCGTTTATTTCAAAACTATTACTGGGTATTATTAAAAACAGAAGTCGCTACAGCCATGGTTATAAATAGACATTAATTAAAAACAAGTAAAAATGATTAAACAGAGTACCACAATGTCGTTATGTACAGACAAAGTTTTCATATTGATACAGTCATAAATGAACACAACGTCTTTAACTTATTATTACAAAAATATAAGGTTCGTATGCGTATGTTGACAATTTGATTGTAATGCAAGGCATATAATTATAGGAAAATGTATAATAAAAGAAAACAAAGAAAATATTTCATGAACAATACGTACAATGTCCGGGTTGTCACATGTAGATAAATGCAATAAATTAACTGTAAAATAACATGTTTATTTGCCTTTTCAAGATTATCCTCCACGTCAAGTTATTGTTAAACTAATACGTATAGGTGAAACATGTATGTCAAAAATAATAAAGAAAAACACATCCTAAAACGTAGTACCTGGAGTAATTATGGTGTTTTAAGCTCAATTCATAATATCAAACAAACAGATAATGCCTGGTTGAAAATCATTTAACTACTTTTCAACTATTATGTAAATATATTTGTAAATGACGACATTTATGATGCTGATAAAGAAATGAAAACACAATTATTCCAAAAAACATTAGTTTTAGTGAAATAAATTCATATTCAAGACATCGAAAAAAATCAATACGTATTGTTCTTACTAGATTTGTAGTAACGCAAAATCGTGCAATCAATTTCTTACAAGTCATACTGTGCACACAGTTTTCTTTGTATACAATATACATACCAAATATGGCACATACTGCTTACACATTTACATTTACCACTTTAAACACCTCTCCTATACAATATAATTTACAAACATTCCTTCTATACCGCATAAAATACACACTTCTTACCAATGTTTTCTATCCACATATTATAAATGTACGTACAATTCTTCTGTTTCGTCTATACCACATATTATATATTATGCAAACAATTTTCATTCTTTACCATACAGTTTACACACAATGTTTCTCACCACATACTTTACAAATAATTCCTCTTTACCACATACTTTGTTAATAATTCTTCAGGACCACATACTTTACACACAATTTTTGTTAACCACATTCTTTACACATGAATTTTCTTTACCACATATTTTAAACACAATTCTTTAACACATACATTAACACATACTTTACTAAAAATTATTCTATGCCTAAAACTTAAGACACAAACTACATGTGTATACATACATTTTCCAAACAACGTCATATTCAACACAAGCTTCTACTTTATCGTATATCGTAGACACATATGTATCCTTATATACCATATGCTGCATACCAATGTATTATATACAACATATTTCTTTTTTTTTCTCTTAAAGCAAGCGCATTCTTGACATTTCTTGTGTTTGAGTTACATCAAAATTGCGTTTAATCGTCAATAAGCCATTTACCCACATTCTACCCACATTTTACCCAAAGACTCGCATCAAGTGAATTTCATGACAACCTGTTCTTGATATGTCAAACTCGTCCTCATACAAGCAACATTGTCCCGGGAACCGTTTAAAATAGAAAATTCTAAAACCTTCCTCGTATAATCTTCTAAACACATTCAGATGATGTCTGTAGTCTTTTTTATTCCTATGGTCCAGCTGCCAAGGAGGAAGGTCTACCCAACTGTGGAACTCCATAATTAGTTGTTTCACGCCTTTAAGCGCGCCACTTTTGAGCATTTCCGGTAAAGCGTCCCATTCAGCGCCCTCGATATCAATCTTCATCATAGCTAAGTTTGCCTGCAATACATTTATTAAATTCTAAAGAGTTTTGCAATGTTTTCTTTTACTAGACCTGTCTCTAGATATGATGCACCAAGCAGCTTACTCTTTATGCACAAAGCAACATGCTTGATACAAAAATAAAATGCTCTATTAAATAGTCAGACATTGATAAACTTGTGTATTAAAAAAACCATAATCGACACAGCTTTGAAAGTTTATACTGATATTTTAAGCTTCCTTTTAATTGAATATTCAGTTGTAAATTTATTTTACGGAAAAGTAGTTGAATAAAACATCAAATAATGTGAAGTCAATCTAAAATGAAATCAATATAATGGTATTATAGTCTTCTTCATCAGAATAAAAAAGATCCTATATCTAAACTTAATGTGTCGGGTGAATTCTTCAAAATTTGAACAAAGGAAGACAATTCAATAAATAAAGCCTGAAGGTAGGATTAGAATGATTTTCATCTATAGAAATTTTATATTTCAAGTCAAAATTCTGTATGCTTCGGACAAGGAATCTGTGCGAAACACTACTAGTGTTTTCTTTATATGAATGTTAAAGTTACTTTAATAATTATATCAATAAATAAAACGGTGACATATAAACAGAGTCTATGTTAGTTTTAAGCAAACTGTATCTACAGATTTACTTAAGCCGTTGCGAGTGGATGTAAGTGATGTGGCACACTATATCACCTTTTTTCTTCTGCACAAACTCAGTTAAAAATGTTTTCAATTTTCAACTATTATTTGTTTTTGTTTTCAACGACCTCTAAGGATCTCACCGTTCTACAAGATCTATTTTCCAGTTGAACAAAGAACGACGGAGTAATACCAGAACCTTACCTTTTGATGTCCAAGCTCATTTTTTATACTGTTCAATGTTCTCATTTTCCAGTTCGTGTTCATAACTTCGTCGGCCTTCCAAAGTCCCATGGAGTGAAAATATACCGCAGGTGAATGTTGATGATCTGCCATACCATTTCTTGTGAAAACAAAATATAATATGGCGGTAATCAATTGTTTTAATTTAGTTTAAACATTACTTATTTCAGCTCGATAAGAGAGTTTCGAGCTTTCTGAGTCACCCTCGTGGTGTCCGCTTCCTTAAACTTTCCAGTACTGATGTCATATAAAGAAAAAGACCGTGCCTCACGTAAGACTCGAACCCATGATCAATGGGTTTTGAGGGCGGCATCTTAATCACTAGGCCAGCGCTCCCCTTGTTTTAAATTGTACAGTCCTTGGTGAATACTTTGTTTTCAGTCTCTGATACACTCATTTTTTTCTACACATATGTTAAAAGAATGTATGTTATACATAAACAAAGTTCACTTGCATATATACAGAGCCAACATTCATGTATATCAGTGTTTCAATGAAACCATCCTATCTTTGAAAATTCCTACGCAAGTGAATCGGGTCAGGAGCGGAGGCTGTATCTTTAGATATGGCAATCATGCTTAAATTCAGGAAAAGCTTGATATTTTTATTTTTATAAATACTAATCAAGTTAAGATATACGTGTTTTATTTTATACTTACGCAGGATCAAAGCTGTGAATAACACATCCATACCATTTGCTTAGTTCTTCGTCAAAAGAAAAGTCCGTCCGCACACTGAAGTAAAGTTCAAGACGGAAATAGGAGATTATAAAAGGCCCTATTACATCACTATTGCAATAAAGAAAATAATTAAGTAAACAAATAATTATGTCCTGTGTAAATACAAATAGACAACGACCGAGCAACTTTACGTGTATGAAATGCTAATAAAATGGCAACAGCTTCTAGATCTAACGTCTAAACATTTTTTTGAAAATTGAATACAAATATATTTAAAAAGAAGCGAATAATCTATGTACAAACCCGAAAGAATAAACGACACAAGGCTTAGCGGGTACAACATTCTCATTTTCACATAAATCATAGCCGCCATCTTGATGGTTGCCAAGGTGAATTTGTCTCGTACATGGTACCTGGATGCTTTCTATGTACCTGAAAGTAAAAGCACAGATATTTATCTAAAAATAAAGTCTAGAATGTCACTCAAAAACAAGCATTTACCTAAACGTACAAATGTGTACCTAAAATAAAACACAAATATGTACCTAATAAAATGCAAATATTTACCTAAAAATAGTATGTCATTTACACTGTAAAATACTTTAAGCAAAAAGATATTAAGTGGTATAAGATGCGGTTATTAACAATACATGCACTTGGATTTTTGTCGCTTAATATGTACATGTATAAGATAAAAAAATATTCTTTAATATCTCTTTAAAGAATGAAAAGTTGGCAAAGGTACAGAATCGTTTTATCATTTGAAGTCCGTGTACTGAGTCTATATACTGTGTATAAGACACCTCGCCTATTGCGAATTATGCAGGGGTTGTGGGAAAGGGCTCTTTATCAGCTTCTTATTGATATGTCGAATTTCCAGTTGGGCAGCCATCTAGCATCCCTAATGTTATTTGTGACGGTACTCCTAGTATTTTTAATACTAATAGGTTTTCTTTTCAGATGGGTACACCTAGCTAGTTCAGAGAATTTACATTTCTCTAGGTCTAATTCTCATGTTAATTCTGAATCTCATGTTTCAGGTATTAATGATAATAATAATTTTTCTTTAGGTCTTAGGTCCGAGCCTCCAAGTGCCAATACCAGTAATCAGACTCAGCACAAATCCATAGTTAACGTTCAAAGACCTCAAAGAGTCCGGAGAGCACCGATAAGATACGGAGAGTGGGTAACACCAATCACTGCTGTTGTAAACAATACTAATCAAGATGGTGAAATTTATTTTGTATAGCATGGGAGAATGTCACGGGTATTAACATAAACAATTTTATGTGTATTTTCCCATTTTCAGCTATTTTCAGCTTAAATTAACATTTATTCTGAATAAATTACTCAATTTACATGTGTAAACATTTATTAGTGTTGATTATGTATTATTACTAAAGTGTTTTGTTTTAACTCTCTTTTAAAGTAATTTATTAAGATATTTTTTATTCCTGCAGGTATAGTTAAAACTCTACCTTACAATCAGTTGTACCAGAGATATATATGTATTTTCGCATTTATTTCGAATATCATTATATTTCAGCTATTTTGGGTTTATACCTTTAATTTCAGTTAAACTGAGTTTATACCTTTAATTTCAGTTAAACTGAGGGTATACCTTTAATTTCAGATAAACTGGGTTCAAACCTTTAAATTCAGTTAAACTGAGTTTAACTTTATTTTCAGCAATATTGAGCCTATACCTTTAAATAAATTATTTTGGGTATATACCTTTTTTTTAAGCGGAAGCAGTTACATACCTTAAGTTGCCAGCTGAACCAGTAACTTTAAATTGATAAGCAATGTTTCAGATGATAAAACTTATTTTTATTTCAGCATTGTGTTTGAAAGCAGAAATTTTTCTATAAATTCATATTATGTTTCAGATGTAATAGAAACATGTTATTTTCAAATTATAATGCAAAACAAATTTTGTTCTGTTTTTAATTTTATTGGGTACTGCAGTTTTGAGACAGCTATTATATAGGTTAATAAAATGTCAGGAGCCATTTTTCTCCTAGCAGGGGAGAATGTCACGGGTCGTTTTATTTATTATATTAATTGTTTATTTTGCCGTGCACTGTTCGTCGTTTAGTCGCGGGAAAAGTAATCTTTGTCCGCGCATGCGTCGATTATCGTTTGTCTCCGTGGCGTCTGTTATCGTCTGCTATTGTATTGTATCGGATGGGTCCGTAATGTACGCTTATTAGCGGAAATTCACGGAAACAGCCGAAACAATTCAACAATGTCTGTATCTCGTGCAATTTTGTGAACTGTTTTTGTATGTCCAATCGTTTTGTACGTTGTATGAAAGAGTTTTGAGAGAAAGTTTTAGATTGGTTTTTAACATTTTCTTTCTTCCAAATTCCCGCGAACTTTCCTTCTTCACTTCACTTCAACTTTATTCTCTTACGAGTTTAGATACTAAGTTGTACTTACTTTAATTCTATAAGTTTAACTTATTATTAAGTTATTTACTTTTTGTATTGAGACGCTGTGGTTTTTTCTTCGTATTAAATTAAATTTGACGAACCTACGCCAGGAGTTTGTATTATTAATTCTACCCTGTGACAGGTGATTGGTAGAAATAGGTCTAAAATCACATGATTTATGTCACATGACGAAATACCAGCTAGATGATTGGTGGAGGCATATTTAAAATTACACGATGTATGTTATATGCCGAAATTCCAGGAAGATAATTGGTAGAGGTAAATCTTTATGTATGTCACATGCTTAAATTCCAGCTAGATGAATGTGTCACACATAGAAATTCCAGCTTAATGATTGGCGGAGGCAGCTAGGTTCAAAATTACATGGCGTATGTCACATACCAAAATTACAGCTAGATGATTAGCGGAGCCAGATTAAAAATCACATGACATATGTTCCAGCTAGTTGATCTCCCGATTAGTAACACCATCTATAAGTAACGTCTTTTATTTTAAAAAAATCGCATCATTCAGTGGCGGGATATATATGTTGTTCGAAAAGTGAACGACCTGAATCATTTTATAAAAGATCACTGTGTAATGTGGTGTATTTGTACAAGTGTGATCGACCTTACTTATTAAATAATAGATACCAATTATGCTTGATGTGCATTGTATTTGTACAAAGATTGGCCGGTCTAAATCATTAAATAATGACGAGGCCCCGTCATGTAGAATACATCACCTCCAATGACCCGATGTTGTAATAAGAAACATGTGGTTTAATCCGGCTCGCACTTTAAAGTCCAAAGTATTACTTTCCATTAAATAGACTGTTTCTGAAATGCATGCAATTCCTATACCTCGTCATATGAACAGAACTGCAAACCGACCGTAACCTAGCTGGATTGTCTCCTCCAACAATTTCAATGTCCCGGGTAAGATTCAGTCAACGACCCAAACAATAATGTTAATGAGAGGTCACTTGGCTGAAATTAAACAATACCTGTGGTATAGCTCCTCCAAGTCACGGAATTCCATTATCTCGAGAATAAATGATGGCGGCACACGGACACGACCTTGAACGTCTACAAAAATTGTTGCTCCCCGAGACTTTGCTGGGTACAGTTCATATTTCTCTTTCAGTTCCTTCAACATAATATAGATAAAGTCATATAATGTCGTGCTCTTTGTCACAAGTATAAAATATTTCACTATTTCAATATTTATAAGTTCATATTTAAGCATATATATATTTATAAGTTCATATTTAAGCATATATAAACAAATTGATAACTATATGCTTTGTATATATACTGTAGATAAAATATGAAAATAAAGATCGACATGGAAGGGTGGCATTCAATGAACTTATCCCCCAACAGTAATCAGCAACAAAGGACTATCTGCAAGGAGCCAAGCAGGGCACCAATCAAAAACAGAGGAGAGCAGAAGCGCGGGGGGGGGGGGATGAACAGCACAAGTTTTCTTCTGAATCTAGCTTTGCCTGTCATGAATAAACAAGGGAGCCTTTACATGTATGTATACCATTCTAAATAACAAGCAATAAACAACATTTTTCTTCACGAAAGTGATAGTCCGTTTTTACTGTCTTTGTGTTAATAAATTGCTTCTGTTTAAGACCATTTGTAAATTTGCAATGGTATCATTATGAATTCTACGATATGTTAATATGATACATTTGTAACTTACCGTTTCAAGCGTTTTATTCACCTTTAAGGTAGACAAATCCAGGCGCTTTTTCTGAAAGCAGAACATGTATTTATTAGTCGCCGGTAGAAACCGGCGACTATATTTGTAACAGTTTAATATTATATCTATGGTAGGAGAAGGCCTTAAAATCTGAAAATAAAAGCAAATCAATTACTGAACAATTAAGGACCACAATTATTTTTCAGAATCTTAAAAATTCAAAAATAAATTAACGTTGCTAAATGAAATGAAATATGCAAATATTGACATCTTAAAAAGCAACATTACAATTTTCATAAAATGAATTAATAACGTATCCCTATGGACCAGTCATTGAATTTAGGGATACTTTTACTTTTTTCTAAGTGTCAAGCGTTGCTATTTTATGATTGATAAATCATGAATGATATTTAAAATGACACATTTAAATTATCTGGTTGTTTTATATCTTATGACACCTATTATATTTCATTATTTTATCTAATTATAAACAGATTCTCCCTGTTCTATTGTAAGAATCACGTGACTACACGTTGTATGTTAGTGTTATAGAATCTATTAATAGTAACAGATTGCTGATAAGATATACTAGTTGGAAAACGGTATGGGGGCTAATTAGATGCAAATGTATAAATAATTACAAAGTTATCTTTCATTAATCAGTTTCATATTTTATATCATTAGAAAGGATTAGTACATTAAAGAATTAAATAAATTTTCAAAACCTTTTCATTTTATCTTGGTAAAGGGTTAAATTTTGCCCTTTCTGTCAATGTTCAATAGTTTAGTTTAGGTTGAACATCACAAAATAGATTTATGCTAAAGAGGCACATTTATTGAAATAAATAGTGGTAATCGTCGTCTTCGTTATATTCCGTCGATTTCCGTCGCGCAGGTTACCAAAACGGTACGACACATAATAATGAAAACTAATAAAATATCTTTTTGTTAATATTTTATCGAACTGAAAGGCAATTAAACGTTAACTATATCGTATGTAACGACAGGAAATATTGATTGCAACTAAATAGCTTATTTTTTTCGATAGCGCAAAGAAATAGTTTTATGAAAACTGCAAAAGGGATTTTCAAAGATTCGAATTTGGCCTACTAGGTCACAACTTCGTCCTATACTTACCACATATTAATTAATTTAATATCGAGATCTATACTATCAATAAAATCTTTAGCATAAATCATAATAAGTTACGTAAACTAACGTACGAAATACTTGCTTAATAATCATAGCAGTTCCTTAACAATATTGCTAAGCAAGTTTGCTTCATATATGATGTTTTATTGTGAATAAACAGTTACTCAACATAAATTGTTCCTCTTTTCTTTATACCTGAACCATTAATTAAACTGATTTTTTTATATTTATGATAATACAGTCATTTTCTATCCGGCGAATTGATGCTTTAGCATCAAAATCTCTACTTGTTTATTTTTGAGCAAAACTATGAACAGAAGTTACTACAGGTAAGCGTAAAGAAAAACGTAAATATTGTGTCACTTTGCGCGTATTGTACAAATTAATCAAAATATTTTTCTACAAACAATTGTTTTAGTCTTTATCTTTTAGAAATTAATGTAATTATATAATTGATTTGTTCTGTGTTGCATTTTATTTTCTGTCAAAGGGTAGTTCAAAATTTGTGTACGATCATTGCACTAAACTTGTGTGTACAGAAAACAGTAACAGACAGTCTGGACATGCAGGCTAACATCACTATATTGCAGTCATGCTCGGAAGTACTGTATTTTAGCAAAATATTGTGCTTAGATTACAACTTCGATTTCATGGAGCATGATTAGATAATACAGTGGAAAATCGAAGCCCCGGCTTTCCTTCCGGGACTTTGACATTTGGTGGAACAAACCTACGGAGTCAATGCCCTGCTCACAGTTAATGCCTGCTATAAAATACGGCATTACATGTTGAATATATTCCCCGGTCTATTAGCGCCAAACCAAAACCGTCGCATTCACCCGTAAGTGCGCGGAAAGGCTTGTTTTTCTTTCCATCAGACAGCTATACCCCATTTCCATCCGAATGTATAAAGATGAAGGTTCATTGCAACAACTGGTTTTTATCTTTATAACTAAGTACCACTTACATATTCGAGAACAAGAATCACCAGGTTCATGGCTGAATAAGCGACATTTTATCTTATCTATCACATGCATTTTGATAACAAACTGATTATATGTATATAATACATGCATTCATCGCGCAATCCGTTTATTAAGATTATATTATGCCCATCTTCTTTAATATTTGTATTAATTTTAACCAGCATATTTCATACCGGTAAACGTCTTTAAAAAATCAACTAGAAAATAAACGACAGTGACTTTTCTCATTTCAAACTGTGATGCAAATGTATTAATGCATTGTAATACATTGTATATTATTTGTTATCATGCAATACAAGATGATTGAATGTTTTATTCTAGAATACTGATTTCTGTTTTAGTACGTTCTAGTACTGTTTTTATCATTTTATTATATGTCTCTGATTCAGAATAATTGTTTAATCAGTTCATAATCAATTAAGAGAGACTTGAAAATCAGAAGTTTTATGATAAAACCTTTAAACCTTATGTTTCTTTATATTTTTATTCAGGTTTCTTTTTCATGCCTTATCTCTTTTGAGAAGATGTATAGATTTGCCTTTGTCCGTCAGCCGACCCTCTGTTACGCTGTAGGTCTACGTCTATGGGCTAACCAAACAGTGTCCCAGAATGTAGGGACATTTACATGTCCTTTGCATACTACAGTTTACACCATCTTGTATGGAACGTTCCATAATCTTGATTAATTTTCTTAATTTAGTTTTAATATTTTTAACATTCAAAACGTGTTGACTATGAATTCGTAGGTAAATTTATACTATTGTTTCATATAATGCTTCACATTATTATTATTACTTTATTATTATTGTTTTTATTATTATTATAAATATTATTATTATTATTATTATTATTATATTTTGTTTTGTTTTTCGGTGACACTGGGAAAATGATCATCTGCCGTCTTCAAAACAAGATATAATTACAGAAATATAAATATACTGACTTTTAATAACTAGACGCATATGAATTGATACAAATAATTGATAACTCACAGCTCTCTATAAATATGCAATTATTGCAAGCATATTAATGATGTTGGGCATGCACACAAGCACATGCATTATTGTAAATTTACGATCCTTCACTGAATGCATTTAACCATTACCTCGTTAAGGATCTTGAATGGACGTGCGATCAATACCATTCATTATTAAAAATAGTACTGGCTGACTAGCGAACAGTGCAGGCCATTAGCAGACGGCATAGATCATGATCTTGGTATACGGGCTGTTCGTCACCGCAAGTAGGCAAAGTGTTAGATTAATCATTATTAACATATTTCTCTAATATAACAATGTACATCTACTACATTGTATATAACGTATAAATCATAATCAACTTACCACTCGTATAGAAGGCATTTCAGATTTTGATGATTTAGTATGACTTCGAAACAGTAGCACTAAAACCAGCATCACTACAGTTATAACTGCTATTATCCGGAACTGACGAGTCCGTAATAGTCCCATATTTTCTCCTTTGATCATTGGCAGTACAGGTAGTTTAGGGTCTCACGCCTTCAACTGTAAAATCAGCACACATAGGTTACAATTACAGATATATACATGTATATATCTTAGAGGTGTCGAGCTCCCGGCCCGGACAATGTCTTCAAAACTAATTTTTATGATCAGCTTTTAATTTTCTTTTTCACAAAAAGAGAGGTTGTACAAAATGTAAGCATGACTAATAAAGACCGGAGGGGGCATTTCAAGTTCATGAAAGTGAATTCCCGATTTCATCTTAATGAATTCAAAATTCTAACTTTGTGAAATAACGATTTATACTTCATGATTTCACGATTTCAACTTCACGAATTCACTATTTCAACTTTGCGAATTCACGTTTTGAACTTCATGAATTCCACTTCATGAATTCCTGTTTTGAACTTCACGACTGCAACTTCACGAATCAATATTTTATCTTCACGAAGTTGAAATCGTGAATTCTTTCCTGGACCTGATATAGTAAGTGATGCTTACGCTTCTTAAATATATACATGTAGAATATACATAATGACTAATTCATGATTTATGTTATGTCTGATTAAAATGATATTACAAAACAAACAAGCGTGGTTCATTCACATTAAATTCCTTGTTACTAAGACATATGATAATTTTACGAGATAGTGAAATGTGTAAAAGAAATATGACTTACCTTTCAAGTAAAGTTATCCTCTGTGTGGAAATCATGTATATACAAGGTTCTTGTTATTTACTCATGATTCATGACTCTTGTTTGTTTGTCTGTCTGAGTATAACTGAGCCTGTTTACTATCCCCTACCCCGTTCAAATATGTAACATAAAATCCAAATATTGACTTACAGATCAGATCAGATATTGTGTAACACGCGTACCGCTATGTATAGTCTTAAGAGATTTGATTTATTATTTTTGTAAAATAACGGAATATATATAGGTTTAACAAATGTTATTTTAGAAATTAATAAATAATCCACGTGATTATGAATATCACTCGTTACACGTGTGTCGCACCAATTAATTGCTATCCTTTATAGCTCTTTGCCTTTACGATAAATATATATTATATATATTTAGTCACAAGGACACAAAACTACGGAGTGAATTTCACATAAAGTGATTAAGATAAAATGGTTCAAGTCTTTGCTCGGCCAAAATCAATAGATAAAGTAGAGGTGACATCAACACGGCTGTAATTGCAAACAAATTGTAAGAAATATTTCATGAACTGTGGCCAGTCTTTACATGTAATACGTAATATGTCAAAAGGAATGATAACATTTTAGTTGTTACCCAGGTAGGGAGATTAAATTAATCTTGATAACATTAATAGATACGCTGTCCGTACAGCATTAACTTGTACTGTGTAATAAGATCTACTCTGGCATCTCTGCTTACTTCTTCTTTGTTTTGTTTAAGAATTGGGCCCTTGTAATTGTATAACATATTTCAATTTCTTTCTCCATTATCGTCTAGTTTACACATTAATTGAGTGAATGATTCACATATCACAAACAAACCATTTCAGTTTGTTGATAACATGAAACTGATAACAGCTTGACCTACAAAATGAGGATGACAACGATAGTATAAATAAGTGAGTCGTTCGATAGTTAGAACTACAACAACAACAACAACAACACACATTTTGGGTAAATAAGTTAATATTTTGTCTGATTTGTTAAGTAGTTAACGATTGACACGTCAATTTATGTGGTTTAGACGTATGTTTGGGACATTCCTATCATCTTTTGTTGCAAAATACACATTTCAACTGTTTAAATTTGAAATAAACCTTGAAACGCCAAAAAATGTTACAACACTCGGATAGTTTTAATTTCGGAGAATAACTTAGATTGCTACAAAGCAGGGCCGGCAAAATCAATTATCGTTTTGCCCAGGTTGTCCCACAGCCTGTACGGACAAGTGAAAAATTTTAAGAATTAACTATGTATTTTAAAAATCATACGGACAAGTGAGTCAAAATCAGATTTTGCGGGCCCTGCAAAGTACGATGTTGATGGAGTCTTGATACAAGATACAAGAAACTTTATTTTAAGTCGGTTTACATATTACAAGAAACATTAGCTAATAAGCTATTTACCGACAATAACAAAGGCATAAAACATATTTACTAACATATAACAGTTCTGAAAATAAAAACATATAAAACTATTAGCAGCTTAAGCATGAAATAAGAGTATCAAGGTTAAGAAGAACTTTACAATAAGATGGTAAATTAAGGCATAGATTGGTGACATGCACAGTACATATTGTATTAAAGGTAATAACAGTTTCTAAAAGTAATAAATGACTGTAGTCTAGAAGTTTAAGTATGATACATATAGCAATGTGAAATAAATAAAAATAATAATAAAAAATAAAAAATTAATAAAATAGTAATAGTTATAAGTTAACATCTACAATTTATAAATACGTAATTGAAGGTTTCCTAAAAAATATATATAAATAAATAAATAGATAAAATTAAACTTACTTATAAAAGTGCATAAAAATTTATGATAGAACTAATACAGCATAAAAAAGAAACAAGATAAAGCACATACAATGTAGCAAACAAAGTTAACTAAAATTAAGTTGCATGCACAGCCTAATGGAATGGGGAATAAGGAGTTTTGATATGAACAAAGCATACAAATACAACAAAGATTCAACTAGCATAAAATAAAGGGTTTAAGAAAAATTAACACACAACATATAATCAAAGCATCATAGCAAACTAAAAAGGGATGCACAAAAGCAAAGCAAACAAACAAAACATGTAGTCTAAGCATTTACATAAATTAAAACTAAGCAGAATAACAAACACATAGCAAATTTACAAGCACATAGCACATTTACAGCTTGGGCCACTCCAGACCTGGATCAGTCTCCCAAACTCTTTGTAATTTTCAACCTTGCGGATGTCATTAGGGAGACTGTTCCATATCTGGGCACCTTCAAACCGAAAAGAATTCTTACCGTATGTTACTGTTTTGACCCTTGGGACATTTACACTTTTTTGATACCTAAAAGAATAATAGGAATTTTTAAATTGAATTAAATCATTTATATATGGTGGTGATTTTCCGTACAGGGATTTAAACACTTCTTTGGCTATTATTTTAATTCTTGACAAATGTAAAGTAGGCATATTAACTTTTTTTAATAATGTGTCATATGAAGAATTAAAATCATTAAATACTATTTTTAGAGCTCTATGCTGGAGTTTTTCAAGTTTTTCTGTGTTTGTTTTGGAGCAAAAATGCCAGACAAGGGGACAGTAGTTAAAATTAGATCTGATAAAAGATTTGTAAATAAGAAGAAGACATTCTGAATTTAAAAATTTCCTAATTCTTAAGAGCACATTTAATTGATTGGCAGCTTTTTTACAGATTCTGGAGACCTGTATATCAAAGTTAAGTAAAAAGTCTATGTCTACCCCTAGCAGTTTAACACAATCTTCACATTTTATTGTAACATTATCAATTTGACTAAACGATGTATGAAATTATCAAATACAGAAAATATTTAAATCAATGTATCTTATTTTAGCTTACTGACGTATTTTGTCTTTTGCTGCAAACAGCTAAATGACCGCAAAAAAAATTAAAAAAATTTCCATGCTGCCCTGGCGTATTACAAATGATTATCCTCAGAAAGCTACATCAAATTGTTTTGTATGTATTGTGGATATCTGTCATCTGATTTTGATATATCATCAATATTGTAATGTTCTAAATAGAACCAAACCCATAAAGCAATTGTTTGATAACACAGACCAGAAGGATAGTTTCTACTTTTAATGTTGGAAGTTGCTAGTGCAGGGGGTCGAACGTATAGCGGTGCGATACTCCTTTAAGCGAGGTGATTTCATGCGATACGCCCTAATGGCGGATTTACCCGTGTAAACACACGTCAGAGTGAGTGTTTTTTATTAAGTATTTCATAAATCTTCGATTACAATTGCATATTTTGTATTGAGGATGTGGAGATAGGACCGACACACATTTCATCAAAATTACAGAGGCCTAAATTCATAACTAAAAAAGTTATTGAAGGTAAACTGACGGCAACTAATTTTGGGTCGGTGAATAAAATCGCTTAATGCAAGCTTATATTAATATAGTTAATTTATTTTTCTTCTTTATTCTATAAGAGTAATCATAATTGAGTTGCATAGCAAGTACCTTTGTGCTCCGATATACATAGACGCTTACTGGTCAAAATATTTAAGTGTACGCTGGATTTTGGTGCGATAAAATAACTGTACGCTGTTAAAGGTTCGATATGTTTCATTATCACATCTGCTGTACATGTTTTCCTATGATTATACTAAGATATCTACCATATATTTGCCCGTTTCCGGAATTCTGAAATCTTCTTCTTTCCTTAAAGATTTACTTGAAATAAAAGTTTTGTATAACCATCTATATAAGTGTTTAAACTTAATTTGAATAATTAATAATAATTATCCTGTGATAATTAGGAGTTTGAAAAAAGTAACCTTTACTCTAAGATCTTAGATAAAAAGTAGGAATTTGACCAAAATATGTAAGAATGAATTTTAGAAACCAATTAAGAAATCTCGTATAAATTAACTCACTATTAAAGTAGAACATTTCAGAAAAATAACTGTTAATATGTGATATATTTAGGACTGTTTTACTTCATGAGGTTCTAAGATCTTTTGTACATGCTGCTGTCAAACTGCTATTTCTTTCATTTTATAAATAGAATTGAACATTTCAAACAACCTATAAAATACAGTGAATGTACATTTCACTGCTGTTCTAGAGATAGAGACTGAGAACCAGGTGGTAAAAATCTTTAGGTGGTAAAATTCTTTAGAAAATATTGCTTAGAACAGGCTATTTTTGTAGTGCACATAATTGTAGCCTGTCAGGAAAAAACACAAAACTACAATTTCAAAATTCAGTCGGTCATTGGACACCAAACAGCTCAGTGTCTTTCTTAGGAACAGCTGATGGTCACATGTGCAAATACACAGTTGTAAATGTTGCAGAGCAATTAAAACATTACAAATTGATTAACAAACAAAACTACTGCCAGATAGGTAAAGTACCACAAGTACAAATGCTGACACATGTGCAAATAAACAAAAAGCTTTTGAGTATATAATATTAGATTGAGTCACACTGCTTATGGAGAAGTATATAAATAACACATGGGTTTGTGGGTTACAGTTAAAATATCATCCCAAGGAAAATACTGTTAGCTAAGGTGTTAGCCGAGGGAAACAGTATTTTTAGGAGGGTTGATATTTTTACTGTTACTCACAAACGCTTGTGTGTTATTTATTTTATTTCCCGAACAGATACTGTAATCTATAATACTTTTATTTACATAAAAAAACACTTGCCCAGATTTTATACTGTTAAAAAGTGGTGTTGGCCTGTAACAGTACAAATCTCTTGGTACACTTGCTTTAACAATAAGAGTAACTCCTAGTGGAAATGAATATTTACAAAAAAGTGAGGGGTAATGCTTTACATTAAATGTTGCAGAGAAAGCCTAGTTTTAAAAGTAAAACTACTGGCAGATATGTTAAGTCACCAAAAGTATGAATGCTTTCAACAAAGCTGTTTGGTATATACTGGTTATGGAGTAGCAAAATTATATATTCAAAGCGACAGAGCTAATGACAAACATTAGAATTACTGAAATACAATGATGTGCTCTGTATATAATATATAACATCCAATCCATAGAGGAAATCAAACCAGTATTTTTTTCTCATAAATTTCAAATTCCATTGCAAAAAAAAATGGAAGAAACAAAACGAATATCATCGTGACTATTGATTACTTGATAGAATTTCAAATTTCTGTGCATAACTTATCTCATTTTAATGATTAACCTTTGTGAGAAAAGAATATTTAAATTAACTATACCAAAGTATAATACATTAATTGACACTGTTGTTTTAATTGACACTGTGGTTTTCATATGATTAACATTCAAACTCAAAACTTGATATTTCATCAAAATTGTATAAGAATGTACTGTAATGAGGAAATTGCTACAGAAAAACATACCAACATTTGTGCGTACAGTTGGTTTATCGGACCAAATATTAGGCGTACAGTAAGAAAACTGGAAATATTTTATATATTTTTGGATAGATATGGAAAACTACTCTTGTATATCGTTTTGTTTTCAAAAATAAACATGTTTGGACTTAAACTAATCGAATATCTCGTTTTAAAACGACTGATACATTATTCGTTTGCATGTGCATATCAGGTTCACGGTTGAATTTGCAAAAACAAATACCTCAATAACTTCCTCAATTCTATAAGTATTAGTATTTTAGTTTGACAATCATGCACAATTATTAGTTCTGATCAGCATGCACAATGCTATTCTTCAAAAAATTACAATAGACAACAAATATTTGGAAAAAAAACATGCTCATACCCACTTTCGTTTTCGCTCCCGTCCGCCATTAGGGCGTATCGCATGAATTCACCTCGCTTAAAGGAGTATTGCACTGCTATACGTTCGACCCCCTGTAGTGGAAGTGGATGAACGTCAAAAATGCGTAATGATATTTTATGTCTTTAAGCGAAGATTTTAACCAAAAACAACAACAACAACAACAAAAAACAGCTATTGTGTTTGTTTGTTTATTTTTTTTGTACAGGAGCTTGAAATTCTATCAATAATCGCTCAAAAGTCTACCATACCAATATATAAAATGTTTTTTTAATATATAGTTATGGATTTTTTTAAAATCAGACTTTAAAGTGATTATTGATAGAATTTCAAGCTCTTGTGCTTGTTTGGGATGGATTGCCATGTTGGCTACAGTAAAGAAAGTACGAATATTGATCTTTGTTATCTCCAGACGGCGAGAGAAAAAAATAGTGTTTAGTTGCAGTTGATTAACATGAATTGAAATCATTTACATAATAATTATAATCCATTTTTTTTTGTTTCAATAAGTTTAATTCTCAACACCTTTAAAATTAAAAAACAGCACTGAAAATATTTATTGTTGGACTCTAATAATTGCGTCAATTAATGACAGTTTGCATGTTCCGTGAAACGAATTTTTTAATTTAGGCCAATTGATTTTGATTTGATTTTCTATATTTATCTACTTAAAAATAAAATTATACATACTAGGTTCTAAGTACACACGACACCAGGTAGGTTCTAGTAAGAATACATACATTTATTTTTGAGATCAACGAAAACCAGTTTTTTTGGCCATTATATGATTATTTATTCCATGTGCTTAATTAACAAATGAATTATTTAATAATTCCTCTTTCATACAAATAGAACAACAAATCATAAGCATAAAAACAACGACATTTTTACTTAAAATATTTATCATTTAATCATTCATATAACTTTGCATACACACATACAACGAATGTACTTTGAATAATTAAAGCTACATTAAATAAATATGTAAAGATATTTTGCCGTCGGCCTAAAAACCAAGCATTCTGCAGATTCATTAACCTTTTTAACAGTATTGTTGTAAATCTCATCAAATAATGTTCATAAATAAGGATTTTAAACGGAAAACCCCACGGTAACACTAAAGTTCGTATACGAATTTTAACATGCAAATGAAGTTTATAATCAGCTTGTGTATGCGCTACGTCACAGTGTTATAGCTGCTATCCGGAACACAACAAATATGAGATTTTCTTGCGCAAACACATTTTAACCGTTTAACTTCACGGTGCACTAGGCCCGGGGTTCAGTAAAAAGTAATCATCTCATAAAAGATTAAATTTGTATGAAAACATCCGTTACAATGCGGGAATATACTGCTACTTATAGTCATATTTGTTGATTTAGTATTGATGTACAGATGATCTGAAGGCGGAGTTTCTCATGCAAACAGATATTGTACTTCAGATTTCGCCACAATGAGGTTGTCCATTTATAGCTCACCTGTCACTTTGTGAGCTTTTGTGATCGCTTTTCGTCCGGCGTCCGTCCGGCGTCCGTCTGTCCGTAAACTTTTACTTTAAATGACATCTCCTCATAAACCACTAAGCCAATTTCATCCAAACTTCACAGGAATGTTCCTTTGGTGGTCACCTTTAAAAATTGTTCAAAGAATTTAATTCCATGCAGAACTCTGGTTGCCATGGCAACGGAAAGAAGAAACTTTAAATATCTTCTTTTAAAAAACCCTGAGAGCTAGAGCTTAGATATTTGGCATGAAGCATCTTCTAGTGAGTGTCTACCAAGTTTGTTCAAATAAAAGCCCTGGGGTCAAAATTGGCCCCGCCCCAGGTGGTCATTGATTTTCCCTATATACATATAGTAAAAACTTAAAAAATCTTCTTTTAAAGAACCCAAAGAGCTAGAGCTAAGATGTTTAGCATGAAACATCTTCTAATGAGTGTCTACCAAATTTGTTCAAATAAAACCCCTGGGGTCAAAATTGGCCCCGCCCCAGGGGGTTATTGATTTTCCCTATATGCATATAGTAAAAACTTAAAAAATCTTCTTTTAAAGAACTCAAAGAGCTAGAGCTAAGATATTTAGCATGAAACATGTTCTAATGGGTGTCTACCAAGTGAGTTCAAATAAATTCCCTGGGGTCAAAATTGGCCCCGCCCCGGGGTCATTGGTTTTTTCTTATATGTGTATATATAGCAAAAACTTCAAAAATCTTCTATGAAAAAACCCAAATAGCTAGAGTTTAGATATTAAGCATGAGACATCTTCTAGTGAGTGTCTATCAAGTTTGTTCAAATAAAAGCCCTTGGGTCAAAATTGGCCCAGCCCCGGGGGTCATTGATTTTTCTTATATGTGTATAGCAAAAACTTAAAAATCTTCTTTGAAAAAATCCAAATAGCTAGAGTTTAGATATAAAGCATGAAACATTTTCTAGTAAGTGTCTACAAAGTTTGTTCAAATAAAAGCCCTGGGGTCAAAACTGGCCCGCCCCTGGGGTGTCAATATTTTTAACTATATTTGTATAGTAAAAACATAAAAATCTTCTCTTAAAAAACCTAATGAGCTAGAGCTTAGATATTTAGCATGAAACATCTTCTTATGGTTGTCTACCAAGTTTGTTCAAATCAAAACCCTTGGGTTAAAATTGGCCCTGGGGGGGGGGGGGGGCTGGTCATTGTTTTACATTATATGTGTGTGGTAAAAACTAAACATCATGAAACATCTTCTAATAGTGTCTTCCAAGTTTGTTCAAATAAAAGCCCTGGGTTTAAACTGGCCCGCTCCGGGGGCCTATATACAGGTGAGCGACCTCTAGGGCCATCATGGCCCTTTTGTTTATGCTTATAAAACTTATTTTGGTTTTCTGTACACAAAAAAAAAGATCTGGAGTCGATATGAAACTTAATTTATTGTGTCGTCTTGAAAAGGTGACATATAGGGATTACTTTTGTCGGCGGCGGCGGCGTCTGTGTCGGCGGCGGCGGCGTCTGTGTCGGCGTCGGCGTCCCCTAAAGCTTGTCCGGAGCATAACTCAGTCACTATAAGTCTGATTGACTTCAAACTTGGTATGCATGCTTCTTTCAATAACCCGAAGTGCAGTGCACAAGGACCGGTACTCTGCAGTTCTTATTTTTTGAGTTATTGCCCTTTGTTAATTTTCATACTTCAATTTTGTCCGGGCCATTTGTCTTCAACTAAAAAAGCTATGGACTTGAAACTTCATAGGATGATAGATCTCATTAAGAAGAAGTGCAGTGCACAAGAACCGGTACTCTGCACTTCCTAATTTTTTAGTTATTGCCCTTTGTTAATTTTCATACTTTATTTTTGTCCGGGCCATTTCTCCTAATGTATAAAAGCCATGGACTTGAAACTTCATAGGATAATAGGTCTCATTAAGAAGAAGTGCAGTGCACAAGAACAGGTACTCTGCATTTCTTATTTTTTGAGTTATTGCCCTTTGTTGATTTTCTTACTTTATTTTTGTCCTGGTCATTTCTCCTCAAGTATGAAAGCTATGGACTTGAAACATCATAGAATGATAGATCTTATTGATAAGAAGTGCAGTGCACAGATATGCTGCTCTGCACTTATTATTTTTTTAGTTATTGCCCTTTGTTATTTTTCATATTTCATTTTTGTCCTGGCCATTTCTCCTAAACTACATTGTTCACAAGGCGACACATCCGACTCACGGAGTTCTAGTTAATGAAATATCGCTATTTATGTTTTTATGAAATTTATTAAATGTAACTTTAAGCGTCATGTAACTTTGACACTTTATCAAGATGACAACGCTTGTATTTCCATTGTATTCTTTTTTTTAAAAATGCGGAGCATCATTATTAGAGTAAACTTTATACGTGGACAAATTCGGGTTCTTGAATGAAATACCCGTTTAAAGACGCAAAATAACATACGCATTTTAGACATTTAATATAATTTTGAAAAGTGCCGTACGTCTAGACAATACAGTGTGTCCTGGCCAGCCGTAGGTGACTCCGGTACAGCTAGAACTTTTGTCTAGCCGTACTAGCCCGTACGGCTAGCCACTTCCTTTAATGTTTACTGTACAATTGTATTATAAGAACTCACTCTGAGTATCAGAGAAGCAGAGCATGCATTATACATAGGAGGCGGGCTTATCATAACTAACACCAGCATACTACAAATATGTTTCGAAATGAATCTATTCTCTTCTATTGTCTTTCATTTTCAGAAAATGAATGCAGACTCATTGAAGCTTTGTGAGAACCTTGTTCCTACAGCCTATGTGCAGCAAGGGACACAAGCGAAACAGATTAGAGAAAATAGAATCAGGACCTTTTTACAACATGTAAGAAATAAGGATAAGTACGTCCTGCGAGGGAGTTGACATTAATGGAAGATAGATTGATAGATAGGATAGGATAGATACAGCCCTGTCATTTTGGTCTTCACTGTAAAAATGTGCAAAATTAAACTGATTTTTTTCTTTGCATGCATTTTTGTAAATAAACTGCAATTATATCAAGTTTTTTTTATATCAATCTATTTTTCAATTTCTGTCATTAACAATGTTACTCTTTAGCAACCACAATGAAAACTATTTGATTTTGAAGCAGTGCTTCAGAGAAAAACTTTAAAATATCAAAATATATAGACAGATAATACAGATTGAAAGCACAACAATTCTGTAGATTTATATAGTCACTGTTTAGAACTGTTCACTTTTTAGCCACTGAACAATTCTGTAGATTTATATAGTCACTGTTTAGAACTGTTCACTTTTTAGCCACTGAACAGCTCAGTTGGTAGAGCAGCAGAATTTGAAGGGTATTCTGAGTGTCCCTGGTTCGAGTCCTGGTCAGACTGCAAATTTTTCTCACCCTGTGAATTTTTGGTACCCAAAAGGTGACTGTGACTGCATATAACACAGACTTTATTTTGCATTGCTGTCTAATCCTGAGAAAGCAGCTGAGTATGTCACAGTTCAGAAGATTTCATTATTTAGGAGAGAAAATGTGTAAGAGGCCAAATAGGTCAATTGGTAGATCATTTGAAGGTTTTCAAAGGGTTTTTGGTTCAAGCCCCTGTCAGACTGCACATTTTTCTGACCTGATAATTTTGCACTTGCTTTAGTTGCAGCAGGGCAGATATATGATGTTGCACATAAAACATGAAGTGCTATTGTAGGTATTGCATATACATGTCACAGTCTAGAACTGTTCTCTTTAAATAGGGGAGACAATGTGTTAGTGGCTGGATAGTTCAGTTGGTAGAGCCACAGATCATTGTTTGAAGGGTTTTAGGTTTGAGTCCTGGTCAGGCTGTACGTTTTCTTACCCTATGACATACTGTAAATGCCTTTGACTTCTCTTACATTTTTCAAAGGTTTGATTCTTGAAAATAAGTTTACCTATGTAACTGTACTGTTTTGATATATTGTATAAGTATCTGGCAACAGTTAGCTACATTGTATCTTATTTGAAGGAATTTTTTGTTATTCATGCTGCAGAGAAAGTTACCAGATGTGGGTTGGGATGAGCAGACTATAGAGATGGTCCTTCAAGAGTTTTCTACAATGGATAGTAATAATTTCCCAGGCAACAGTGGTGTTGGGGAAAGAGAGGGGAGAATTCTGTCTAACATGGTTGCTAGGAGACATTACAGGTAATAAAAGTTAACTCTTGACTTTCATTTCTAAAAATAGGATCTTACTTGATTTATTGTTTTATTGATATACTTATCTTCAACTAGTCTAGTGTTATAAAGCAAGTCTGTACTGAGCTTTAGAACATTTCTGTAGCAAAAAGTGAAGAAAAAGTTTGTAACATAAAGAAATTGTACAAATGATTAAATGATTTTGACAAGAAGCATCATAATGCCATGTTAAAAACTTTCTGAGCAGTATTTAACAACTCTGTTTAACGATATGGCACAAGCATGCATTTATAAAAACAGCATCAAGTCATACTTAATATGTTACAGTATATAAGTATAAACAAGAAGGATCTTTTGAACTATTAAAGCCATTATGCCTTAGAAATGCTTAATTTTTTTTTAAAAACCATTTGTTTTCTGGTGGTAATATACATGTATTTCATAGTTTCCTAAATATACTCAATGGCAAATAATATGACATTATTTTTTCTTCTATTGTTTTTTTTTTGGCAATAGGTCTAGTTACAGTGACTTAGTATTTTGTATGGAAGTCAAAATGCTACTTTTTTAGCTCACCTGTCACAAAGTGACAGGGTGAGCTTTTGTGATCGCTTTTCGTCTGGCGTCCGTCCGTCGTCCGTAAACTTTTGCTTTAAAAGACATCTCCTCATAAACCACTGAGCCAATTTCATCCAAACTTCACAGGAATGTTCCTTTGGTGGTCACCTTTAAATATTGTTCAAAGAATTTAATTCCATGCAGAACTCTGGTTGCCATGGCAACCGAAAGAAAAATCTTTAAATATCTTCTTTTAAACAACCCTAAGAGCTAGAGCTTAGATATTTTGCATGAATCATCTTCTAATAAGTGTCTACCAAGTTTGTTCAAATAAAAGCCCTGGGGTCAAAATTGGCCCTGCCCCAGGGGGTCATTGATTTTCCCTATATGCATATAGTAAAAACTTAAAAATCTTCTTTTAAAGAACCCAAAGAGCTAGAGCTAAGATATTTGGCATGAAACATCTTCTAGTGAGTGTCTACCAAGTTTGTTCAAATAAAAGCCCTGGGGTCAAAATTGGCCCAGCTCCAGGGGGTAGGGCTGTGCATTGCCATTTTTTTCTGTCACGATACATATCACGATATTTGTTTTTCAAAACGATGCGATTCACGATATGTATTGCATACTTTGAAGAAATGCGATACATATTGCGATTCTTATTATGCGATGCGATACGCATCACGATACTGACTTTCAGACTTAGTATATAAAAATTTGGCCATTTGTTTACAATATTATTATGAATATAGTATAAAACTACTACAATAACAAAAAAATAAACTCTTTAACTTGTTGTTATAACTTGGTTTCCGAATTTGATCTTTCAAAAATTTACTTTTCTGATTACTTGAGGATTAAAGGTATTTTTAATTATACCATAACAGCAATTTGATATCTACTAGCTTTTCTAACACTGAAGTCCACTTCTGTAAATATGGCAGTTTAACAATTTCAGTCTTACAATACACCGCTAGAGATTTTTCATGTGAGAAAAATAGTAACAAGTGATCTACAATTAGGTCAACAATTGTGAAAATGACAGTTTATAAGTTTCAGTCTCAGTTTTCTCGAAAGATTTGTGCTCAACCCCAGAGTATTTTATTTTGAGTTTGCAAATTTTGCAAACACTCCACGTCCGGTCTTCCACATAATACAACACTGTCTGATGGTTCCCCAAAAACTACAATGTTCTCAAAACTCGTGAATTATATGACCAGGGAGGATTAACTGTAATTTCCCCTTCTACATATTTTGCAGTCTTCATGTTTTCTGTTTGTTTGCTTTGTTGTTTTTTTTTACGGGAAAATGATGTCAACGGAAATAAAAGTATAAATACGTGACGAATATCACATGGGGCTGTTGTCATCATCACTATATTAATCCGACATTAAGTGCTACAAAAAAATTTTTTTTTTTTTTATGAAATCGCATAGATCTCGAATTATGTTTTTATTATAAACAAGTTCAAAGAAAACCATGCCATTTACATGGAATTGATAGAACTTGGTTAGTAACAGTTAAATAGGGAAATGCGGACATGGGGAAACAAGATGACAACGATGGTATGATAATAGTCGCGCTTGTTTATTGTTTTCATCCGAACTAATTTTCTTTCTTCAGTCTTTCAAAAAATACGTTTGTCCTTATATTCCTGGAAAATATTATTAGTGTATTACGATTCATTCCCGCTGTATCGATACATCGGCAGGTGAAATATGTATTGCATCGCAATATATTGGAATTTGTAATTTCATTACGATGCATACATCGAGGACAAGATGCACCTCTACCAGGGGGTCATAGATTTTCCCTATATGCATATAGTAAAAACTTAAAAAATCTTCTTTTAAAGAACCCAAAGAGCTAGAGCTAAGATATTTGGCATGAAACATCTTCTAGTGAGTGTATAACAAGTTTGTTCAAATAAAAGCGCTGGGGTCAAAATTGGCCCCGCCCCGGGGGGTCATTGATTTTCCTATCTGCATAAAGTAAAAACTTAAAAAATCTCCTTTTAAAGAAACATAAGAGCTAGAGATTAGATATTTGGCATGAAACATCTTCTAGTGAATGTCTACCAAGTTTGTTCAAATAAAAGCCCTGGGGTCAAAATTGGCCCCGCCCTAGGGGGTCATTGATTTTCCCTATATGCATATAGTAAAAACTTAAAAAAATCTTATTTTAAAGAACCCAAAGAGCTAGAGCTAAGATATTTAGCATGAAACATCTTCTAATGAGTTTCTACCAAGTTTGTTCAAATAAAAGTCGGGAGGTCAAAATTGGCCCTGCCCCAGGGGGTCATAGATTTTCCCTATATGCATATAGTAAAAACTTAAAAAAATCTTCTTTTAAAGAACCCAAAGAGCAAGAGCTAAGATATTTGGCATGAAACATTTTCTAGTGAGTGTCTACCATGTTTGTTTAAATAAAAGCCCTGGGGTCAAAATTGGCCCCGCCCCGGGGGGGGGGGGGTCATTGATTTTCCCTATCTGCATATAGTAAAAACTTAAAAAATCTTCTTTTAAAGAACCATAAGAGCTAGAGCTTAGATATTTGGCATGAAACATCTTCTAGTGAATGTCTTCCAAGTTTGTTCAAATAAAAGCCCTGGGGTCAAAATTGGCCCCGCCCCAGGGGGTCATTGATTTTCCCTATATGCATATAGTAAAAACTTAAAAAATCTTATTTTAAAGAACCCAAAGAGCTAGAGCTAAGATATTTAGCATGAAACATTTTTTAATGGGTGTCTACCAAGTTTGTTCAAATAAAAGCCCTAGGGTCAAAATTGGCCCCGCCCCAGGGGGTCATAGATTTTCCCTATATGCATATAGTATAAACTGAAAAAATCCAAAAAGCTAGAGTTTAGATATTAAGCATGAAACATCTTTAAGTAAATATCTTCAAAGTTACTTCAAATAAAAGCCCGAGGGTCAAAACTGGCCCTGCCCCAGTGATGTCATTGTTTTTAACTATATGTGTATAGTAAAAACCTAAAAAATCTTCTTTTAAAAAACCCAATGAGCTAGAACTTAGATGTTTAGCATGAAACATCTTCTTATGGGTGTCTACCAAGTCTGTTCAAATAAACAAATAAAAGCCCTTGGGTAAAAATTGGCGTGGGGGGGGGAAAGGGGGGGCTATCTACAGGTGAGCGACCTCAGGGCCATCATGGCCCTCTTGTTTACATTTTGCTACTTTTATGACGAGTGATGTCTCATTACTGCTACTTTCTTCAGGTACATATGTAACAAGCGTCTAACATGCTTTAAAACCATAATTTAAATGCATCGAATGAAGTATATCATTATAATTCCAATAACATTACAGACTCGCCCATGGTATTGGTCGATCTGGTGATATTGCTGCCATTCAGCCTAAAGCTGCCGGTTCAAGTCTCCTTATGAAGTTGTCCAACTGTCTAGCACTCGATGTTATCAAACTGTCAGGTTTGTAGAATGCATTCACTTATTTTAGTTGAATGTTGAAAGACATCTCATGGAGAGGTGAGAAATGAAATAAAGAAATGAGACAGCATGGCTGAGTGATTAAGGAAGTCTTACTGTAATAGTTTCCTGCCAAAAAAATCTAACATCAGCTAATATCGTAGAAAATCAGTTATTTCTGGAACATTAATTTTCAAAATCTTGGGCATTAGATCACTCATCCTTTATCGCAATGTACTACATTTCAGTTACAAACGGTAAAAAATAATTGAATACAGATAATTGTAAAAATCAAATTCCGGAAATGACTGATTTATTACGATATTGGCCGATGTTAGAAATTATTTTGGCAGGAACGCATTAAAGTAAGACTACCTTAATGTGTAGTACTAGTAATTCTGGGATCTAATTTATATCAGATATATTTAAATGATTTCGGAAAGGTAAAGTAGTATATTTTATCCAGCATAACATCGAGACATCAAAATCTTTATTGTAGGTTCAGGAATAACTTGATAAGATTCGTAAATTTTAAAATTTCAATTTCATTAATAATATGTGCTATTTTTCTGTGGCCAAGTGGTAAAGTTGCTAATTTTAAACCACTAAGCATTGGTAAAAACCCCAACAGTGAATGAGGAAGCTATCTTAAGTTTGTGTAGGCTTTGTTGCTCTATTACAGCCAGTCAGCCTGTATTAGAAGAAAAAATGAGTGATACTTGTAGTAAAATTACACATGATCATTTTTCACTGTATAATATTAAATGTAATTTAATTGTTGTATTTCATAAGCCTACTGAAGAACCTGCCCTTAAGCTGGGACAAAAACATAAATGTTATGTGTATTTTTTGTCCCAGTCTAAAGCTAAATTTTTACAGGCTTACAAAAAAACATATTTTCACAAGAATATTTTTTATACTTCAGGTGTCCAGTCAGCAACAAGTTGTTTTGTTGTTCCTATGGCGACGGGGATGAGCCTAATGTTGTGTATGTTAACAATTAAATCAAAACGTCCAAAAGCAAAGTATGTGATATGGCCGAGAATAGACCAGAAATCATGTATCAAAAGCATGATCACTGCAGGTTTGTTTGTATCTTAGTTCATTGATGGTGGAATCCATGTTTTCTTGAATGATGAAAACAAAGCTGGGAAAATATCCTTCTTTGCTTAAAACCGTTTTGAATGAGGATTGATGAAAATAATGAGAAATCTTTAAATTATTATTATATTACAGTATCTTGAAACTGAAAATTCGGGTAAAAGTGTTTTTTTCCCATATATATTGATACAGATAAAAATTTTGTTTCCAGAGTAGCAAATATTTGAATTACTGAGTAATTTAACTTTATCTAGGATCAATCAAACTTACTGTGTATATTACTTTTAGGCATTCAGTAATGCAATGTTTTAAGATTAAATTCTCATTGAATTATTGATTTTACTATTTTAAAAAAGGTTTTTAACCAGGTTAAGAGAACGATTAACGTGATGACTGCGGAAAAAAATGAAAGCTATAGAGATAAAGGACAGAGTTTTGGAAGAGAATATTGTGTGTTATGACTAAACTATTTTTTCGCACCCCGGCTCCCGACAGGTAATTTAGAGATTTAAAAATTTAAATTTAATTTTTGAGCAATTTCAATAAAAAATGGACAAAACATCTACATGCAAAGAATCAGAATTTTGTATGCAGATTTAGTTTTTTGAGGGTTTTTTTTAAGTATGACTTAAATCATTTCATAAGTACTGTTTGCAACAAAAAAACATTTATCAAACTTTTATTGAATGAATTTGTATAAAAAAACTTCCGGTTTGCTTCTAATTCTTAAATAGAAACTTCTGCAATAGACTAATAACCTCGTTAAAACATCAATAACAATTCACCTGAAAGTAACACTCAACCTCCATAGAGTAACACATCACAGCAACAACTTAAATCTTTGTCTCTCAAAGGATGTTGTTTCACAGAGGTTGTTCTCCTCACCTCTCTTACAACCCATTACTCCATAGAGATATGTTAATTAATGCTACATATTCCCATAGATAAGAAGTGGTTTTCCTGCACCATTTCAATACTGATAAGCCACACAATAATGAATACAAAAGTAATTACACATATGTATCAATTCATAGGCAATTTTGTTCTTATCTCTTAATTGATAATTTATGTAAAAGACTGTATTTTATAGAGCATGAAATTCCTTTTGTTCCAGTATGAAAACCACTTTACTGTTATGTCTGGTTATAATTATATTGAGGGCTGAAACTGATCCTTATCTCCTTCTAAATCTATATAGATTATATAGAAGCAGGGGGTCATTGTGTTAACATGATTGTTTATTACTAATTATTCCATCAATGATCACAAATGTTTTTACTATCTACTTGTTAAATTATGTCTCCAGTAAAAGGTGGTGCATTTACTTTGAGTGTCCTTATTTTGGAAATATCTTAATTTTGCCCTCATATTAAGAGGCGTCCAGAGGAGCTTGCATGAGGTTATAGATAAAGGCGTCCAGACGCACTTCTTTGAAGTAATGGGTTAAAGAGCTGTTTCACTTTTAAAGCATGCTATTTTTGGATTACAGTCGACTCTCGTTATCTCGAAGTCATTGGGACCGTCCAAAAAATATCGAGATAACGAAATGTCGAGATAAACATATTATGGTTAGAAGAAGGCGAAACTGATTTTTACATAAGACATGTGCATACCTTATGTCAAATAAACTATAGTATCCCAATGTCTTGTTTTCATAGGCATAGTCAATATTTAACAAAGTAACATAAGCGGATGTTTACCAGCGGAAATACGGGTGTCTGTGTTAAAAACACATAGTGAGGTTTACTCAATAATACACCAATTATAGTGAATAGGATATCGGATATGGTTGACCCGGATATCTTCCGGGTTATTTATCGGGTCTTTCTCGAGATTGTTCCAACGCTGATTGATTTGGTGGTGATGTTGTGAAAACAATATTGCAACGATAGCGTTTCTATACTTGAACTATTTCATTTACATTTAAAGTCATAATGAATTGATACAGTTTTCGAATATTTAAAAAGAATGTAAAATTCACTCATTTTGGACATAACTCAATCAACACGCTAAATAGATTAACTTTTATAAAAAACAGCTAAACTTGTTACAAACATAATCGTCATTATGACGTGCGCTATTAATTGGGCAATTATTGTCTAGATTGCGTTTTTCACACGTCTGAAAGGAACAGACGAAGTCGAGATAAACAAAGGATAATAGTGTGAAAATAACTGTTGGGGCTGAAATTTTACATCGAGATACTGAAAATATCGAAATAGAAATATCGAGATAAATAAATATTTCCAATATAGATAAAGAAGGAAGAAAATCGGGACTTTCAAAATTTCATCGAGATAACGAAATATCGAGAAAAGCGATGTCGAGATAACGATAGTTGACTGTAATTACAATTTTATTGTAAAACCCTATGCGTGGTAAAACTTTTATCTTTTGCAACTTTTTATATTATTTATATATTATTTTTCAGATTGGAAGAAGTTGCAGCTATATGTAAAAGACTTGAGGTTCCTCATCTAGTCAATAATGCTTATGGTTTACAGTCCTCAAAATGCACTCACCTTTTACAACAGGCAAGACCATAAATAAATTCTTTTGTTTCCTATAATAAATTTCAGTCTGATCTGGCATTAATTGATCAATGTTTCCGAGCAAGCTTTGATAATTCTCAATCACTATTATGACCTAAGGGGTGTCCATGGCCAAGTGATTAAGATTGTTGACTTAAAAACACTTGCCTCTCATTGCTGTAGATTCTAGCCCCACCAGCGTCATAGGATTCTTTCATACGAGAAAGCTATCCACCTAGCTTACTGAATGTCTATGGTTCTTCTTATAGATGCCTGTTTGTGCCTATAATAATGCACAGAGGGGCACTTGAGGTCTTCTTTGATCAGTAAAGCTCGAAAGTCGCCATTTACCTGTACTATGTTGATGGGATATAGAACCTAACCAAAATAAAAAGAAAATAAAGGCACTGTAATTGCAATATGGCAGCTTTATAGCCTCACTGGTGAAGGAAGACATCAGATATTACTTCAGGCAAGAATGGACACTTTAAGTAGAACCACTTACTTCCCATATTTGTGCCAGCTGAAAAGTTTCAGCTGATATAAAATTCAAAGTGTTTGGTCAACTTAAACCTGTATCAGTGAGAGGCATTAATTTTAAAATCAGTGACATGAATCACTTTAGAATGAGGCCCATCTTGCCTTTTATTTTTATGTGCAAATGTATGAGCAGTATATGTGTTTGTCAACACACAACTGCTTTTCTATAATTTCATGTATTAAGTAAGGTTGGTGGCAATAAATTGGTCAAATTTATATGGACTTCTCTGTATATATAATGATCATGAAGGAATGCAATAGTTATAAGTGTAATGAATATTTTTACATATTAAATATTTTTAATTAGATAGACTTAATGTTTTATAAGAGTAATGTTGCTATTACATTAAAGAAATTTATGGAAGTAAATTGCAGTTGGTTCTACTCATATGCCCACTTCAGCACATTGGTATATGCAAGGTACATTGAGCTTGACTTTGAACCATACATTTTCATATCTGTTAAAAAGAACTATTTCACACATGTAACTGTATTTAATATGACCTGTCATGGTAAAGGTCACCAAGTCCTGGTCACCCTAGTGCATTTGAATCTCACCAAGTGCCTTTGAATCTTGACATTTGGGTCTTTTGGATTCTGTCATGTTAGGAAGCTTTTCAGCTAACTTGAGAAAATTAAGAGGTTCATGTTAGAGCTTGATCCTGAAATAGTTATGCACAAAAATGCAACTGAGTTCTAATTCCACATGTTATTTTGGAATGTCAACATTCAGTGTGAATAATGTTGATCTGACATAAAAGCAACGTCCAAGAAAATGTCCTCTGTTTTATCATTGTAGGCAGCCAGAGTAGGCAGAGTGGATGTGTTTGTACAGAGTTTAGATAAAAACTTCCTCGTACCTGTAGGTGGCAGCATTGTGGCGGGGTTTGATGAAGAGTTTATACAGCAGATTAGTAAATCATACCCAGGTCAGTGGTTTATACAGCAGATTAGTAAATCATACCCAGGTCAGTGGTTTATACAGCAGATTAGTAAATCATACCCAGGTCAGTGGTTTATACAGCAGATTAGTAAATCATACCCAGGTCAGTGGTTTATACAGCAGATTAGTAAATCATACCCAGGTCAGTGGTTTATACAGCAGATTAGTAAATCATACCCAGGTCAGTGGTTTATACAGCAGATTAGTAAATCATACCCAGGTCAGTGGTTTATACAGCAGATTAGTAAATCATACCCAGGTCAGTGGTTTATACAGCAGATTAGTAAATCATACCCAGGTCAGTGGTTTATACAGCAGATTAGTAAATCATACCCAGGTCAGTGACTTTTTACAGCAGATTAGTAAATCATACCCAGGTCAGTGGTTTATACAGCAGATTAGTAAATCATACCCAGGTCAGTGGTTTATACAGCAGATTAGTAAATCATACCCAGGTCAGTGGTTTATACAGCAGATTAGTAAATCATACCCAGGTCAGTGGTTTATACAGCAGATTAGTAAATCATACCCAGGTCAGTGACTTTTTATACCCCCGCACAACAAAGTTGTAAGGGGGGTATACTGGAATCAGCTTGTCCATCCGTCCGGCCGTCCGTCCGGCCGTCGGTTTTTTCTTGTCCGCCCAATAACTTAAAGATTCCTTTGACCCTTAGTCTTCATATTTGGCATGGAGGTTAGTCATGATTAGTAGATGACCCCTATTGATTTTGAGGTCACTAGGTCAAAGGTCAAGGTCACAGGGGCCTTGACTTCAAAAAGCTTGTCCGCCCAATAACTTAAAGATTCCTTTGACCCTTAGTCTTCATATTTGGCATGGAGGTTAGTCATGATTAGTAGATGATCCCTATTGATTTTGAGGTCACTAGGTCAAAGGTCAAGGTCACAGGGGCCTTGACTTCAAAAAGCTTGTCCGCCCAATAACTTAAGATTCCTTTGACCCTTAGTCTTCATATTTGGCATGGAGGTTAGTCATGATTAGTAGATGACCCCTATTGATTTTGAGGACACCAGGGCAAAGGTCAAGGTCACAGGGGCCTTTACTTCAAAAAGCTTGTCCGCCCAATAACTTAAGATTCCTTTGACCTACAGTCGTCATATTTGGCATGGAGGTTAGTCATGATTAGTAGATGACCCCTATTGATTTTGAGGTCACCAGGTCAAAGGTCAAGGTCACAGGGACTTTGACTTCAAAAACTTTGTCTGCCCAATAACTTTAGATTCCTTTGACCCACAGTCTTCATATTTGACATGGATGTTGATCATGATTAGTAGATGACCCCTATTGATTTTGAGGTCACCAGGTCAAAGGTCAAGGTTATAGGGACTTTGACTTCAAAAAGTTTGTCCACCCATTAACTTAAGATTCCTTTGACCCACAGTCTTCATATTTGGTATGGATGTTGATCATGACTATAAGGTGACCTCTATTGATTTTGAGGTCACGGGGTCAAAGGTCAAGGTCACAGGGACCTTGACAAAAAAAAGCTTTTCTTCTCAATTGCTAAAGAATGTCCTGTCCGCAATGTATTGATTTTGACATTTTCACATTTGAAGCATGTAGAATACATAACTTAGCAATGCACTGGCTTAGTAACCTCAGATTTGGCAGGGAGGTTGTCCTTGAGCTCTAAATGGCCACTGTTGATTCTGACAAAGTGGTATGCGGGGGTATTCATGCCATGATAGTGGCAGTTCTAGTTACAGCAGATTAGTAAATCATACCCAGGTCAGTGGTTTATACAGTAGATTAGTAAATCATACCCAGGTCAGTGGTTTATACAGCAGATTAGTAAATCATACCCAGGTCAGTGGTTTATACAGCAGATTAGTAAATCATACCCAGGTCAGTGACTTTTTACAGCAGATTAGTAAATTATACCCAGGTCAGTGGTTTATACAGCAGATTAGTAAATCATACCCAGGTCAGTGGTTTATACAGCAGATTAGTAAATCATACCCAGGTCAGTGGTTTATACAGCAGATTAGTAAATCATACCCAGGTCAGTGGTTTATACAGCAGATTAGTAAATCATACCCAGGTCAGTGACTTGTATTGAAGAACTTATTATCATTTTGGTTTTCATGTCAAATGAAAATGTACAAAACTTATTATAAGACAAACAGGTTTCTGCATCTGTAAAAGTTTAAATACCTGTATTTATATGAATAATAACCTTACAGGAACTGAACTGAAGTCAAGTGCCACCAAACACATAAAATTTGAAAATTTTAATTGAATTGGGGCACTTAAAGCAGAACATTATTAAAACAGATTACAAAGAGTTATACTCTTAATTAAATTGAAAATCTATCTTTAGTGTGATTCTTACCCTGAGCTGACTTAAAAGCATTTAAATGCTGTTCATTTTAAGGTCTTCCTGCACAACAAAAGTGATTATCATTAAAAAACGAAATGAGCAAATGATATGAAATTTTATGTTGAAGTTATTTGTATTGACATACACCAAATGGGGTGTTAATCTCAAAAAATGTTTCTAATCTCCTGATCTAGGTTGAGTTCCTTTAATAATTGTGTATATTTCATGCAAATGTTGATTCATTATTTTTATATTAGTATATTATGCAGTTTCATGGTGTCTTATTTTGAAGAAATAATTGTGATCTCACTTTAAATTTGCCTAAAATGTTAGTGTACATCAAAGGGAGCATTTTTGAGTGGTCTGTTTCTGTGGACAGTTAATTTAGTTGTTACATATGTTCAGTAGGATTTTGCTTGTGATGAATCATTGTGAGTCTTATTCACATATGTTGTCAACATAGACTCTTCCAGTGTTAACAGTTTTATGTGACTGGCTATCCAATAGCTACACTGGAATAACGCATAGTCATTGATTGACCAGGAAACACTAAAGAACACATTGTTTTGTTTGTGATACTATTGTTGAGCAATTGATCTAGCAATGAATAGAAAAGGCAGAGCAAAATTTTCCATTGCTATAAACTTGAAAGGTCCATTGTCAGAAAGATGACCTTTTGTTTGTAGAAAATATTATATTACTTAATCCTTAACTTACTGAATATGAAATGGATTTACCCATGTATTGGATTATTTTGGAACAGTCCTCCATTAAAATTTCAAGGGCTTTCTATAAAAAAAAGAATCTTGATCTACCAGAAGTATAGAGAGCCTGTTAATACTGAACTGATTTAATCACTTTTAAGTTCCAGCAGGTTGTCATTTAGAATATGATTTCCAAAATAAAATGTTATCTCTTGCAGGAAGGGCCTCAGCCAGCCCAAGTCTTGATCTATTTATAACTCTACTGTCGTTGGGTCGAGAAGGTTATAAACAGTTGCTGAAGGACAGAAAAGATAATTATAATTACCTGCAAGATAAGTTGAAACAATGTGCTGAGTGTAATGGTGAAAGATTACTGGATATAAAACATAACAACATATCATTAGGTATGATGATACACCTTTGACTTAATATTTTATATTCTTCATTCATGATCATATATTAATAAAAAAAGTGTGTTTCATTGGGTGAAAAGGCAAAATTTTAGCATTTAATCATTCAAGCACCTTGTCCATTATACACATTTGTGTATATACCGAAATACAGTAAATACTTAGGTTCCATCAGGGTAAATGTTAAAAGAATATATGTGTCTATTTTATACATCTTATAGAAGTGCCATGGTACTGGACTAGCTTTAAATAACATGAGTTGAAGCATATGTTTAGGCCATTCTTTATATATTATTTTTGCACATGACTTATGTTACACCTTCTTGTTACAGCTATGAGTTTACCAGACATAGATGGCAAGTCAGCAACAGAAATAGGCTCCATGCTGTTTACAAGATTTGTGTCAGGTGCTAGGTAAGCCTTGTTTGGGAGTATAGATAAAAGACTATATTTGGGCTGCTAACATCAAAGCCCTAGTTTTGTGAATTTATAACTTGTATGGACTGAGACTTCTTTATAGGAGCTCCAATGAGCTGCAAAAATTGAAAAAACATAATATTTAAAATTCTTGAAAAGATTACCTATGCCACTTCAGAAGTCGGCAAAAGATAATAAAGAAACTCAGAATCAAATTGAAAATGAATAGTTTGTGGGATCCTTTGCATGAGCCAAGTTAAAGTCATTTAAACCCATTCATTTTAAGCTCAACTATTTGATGAATAGGGAGAGCTATTGTGCTAACCCAGGCCTCGGCATGCAAATTGTAAAACCTACTGTAAGAAATGGGTTGAGAATTAATGCACTGTTTGAGATCATAATAGGAGGTCATTGTCCAAGGCCCTTAACTCTAACTTGGATTTTAACAGAACTTTTGGCCTTATTGAACTTGAAAATTCTACATTGCCAGCTTCCAAGTTTTACTATCAAATACTGGAAATGGTTGAGCACTCTGTCCCACCGACAGTTCTTGTTTAAAAATATTTTGTACATTTAAATTATTGTTGCAAATTGGAATGAGTGAATAATCAAAGGTTAACGGTTTAGACCTACATCAAATAGAACAAAAATATCAAAATAATAAATGTTTTTAATCCAGTCTTGTCCATCCAATCAATTAAATCTCTGTGGAGTCCATTGGATTTTAGTTTGTAAATACCATTTGGTAAGCATGATTACTGATTTAATAGATCAATGGTTCTACTTGTATGTTAAATCATATCTGAAATAATTATGTGTAATGACTACTAAAAATACCGTAATGATATGTGTACAGAACAAATGATTAGATGATTACGAGATAAAAATATGTGGATTTTCTTAAGAAACTTATAAAAAGGGACAATAAAAAATAAAATTGTTGACTGTGGTAATCTCGTATTTAACTGTACAGCATGTTTTGTCAGGTTTATTATAAATTTTAAATCTTTTCAAACCTACTTTTTACATTCATTGACAATAGATTTACATGTATTTGATTAGAAAATATACGATGTAACAGTATGCATACCTTGACGTTAATTATTGTCACATATAATAAAGAGCACTATTCCTAACAGCAAGAAAGAGTTGCATTATATACTTTGCTGTGTCAGTGTGATTTTACAGAAGAAATCTAGGTTGACATCTTCAACTATGCCCATAAAGAATGTACAATATTAAAATAGAGGTCTTACCTAAACCTATTTTGCATCATAAGTACAATTTATGTTACAATGCATGATTTTATATTTTTCTTTCTTAAGTTCACTTTTCTTTTATTTAATTCTTTATTTTAGGGTAGTTTGTCAAACTGGGAAGGAAACATCAGTTAGTGGACTAAAATTTCTCAACTTTGGTGCTCATTTTGACAATTTTCCGTGTTCGTATCTAACTGCGGCAGCTGCTGTGGGAATGACTAAATCAGATGTTGATACCTTTATATCTAGACTGGAACAAGTGTTAAAGAAATTCAAAAAGAAAGAAAACATCCCAGAAAACAAAGAAAAAGATTGAAAGTTCATCATAGAGTAAGATATTTGTATAAGATTTGTAAGATGTATATGTATAGTGCCATAGAGAAAGCTTTAAATTTTTCACAGGGGATTTTTTGAACATGTTTTTCTTTCTGACAATGCTATATGTTGGTTATGCTGAATATTATTTCCAAAAGCTGATTCAGTTTAAATTTTCATTTGTTAGAAACAAGCTAGGTGAATCAAATCATTGGGTTTTGTGTGTGTGCCTAAACTAGCCTAAGTGGTGCTTATTATGTTAAGGATTATTGTTATGTTATCTGTATAGACTCGTTTCAAAATGGTCCATTTCTTCACCCAAAATTAAAGCTAAAATTAAATGGGGAAATTTTTTTTAAAAAAAGAAATTTTGCGATAAATTTTATTAGTTTTAAAATTTGGGGTTTATATCGACCCCAAAAAATCTTATTATGGGGTCAAAGGGAACCAAAAAAGAGTTTTTAAAAAGGGATAAACAATTTTCGACCTTTATTGTGGCGAAATCCCCCGGGGGAAAAATTTCATGAGAAAATCCGCCTTCCGTTTAAACCGTTTCATTTAAAAATTAAAACAACAAAAAAATGGTTATAAGTAGCAGTTTCCCAATTAACGGGGTTTTTTTACGCTTTGTAACCCGGGTTTTTTTTTATACAAAATTTAATATTTTTTTCGAAAATGTTTTAAATTTTTCTGGGAAAGCTTTTTTTTCCAAAATGCAAAACCGTGAAGCAAAAACGGTTAAAATTTTATGCACCCTGAAAATCTCGTATTTGTTGGGGATCTGTATGCAAACCCATAAAAACTTACGTAAACACAATTTTCATGAACGAAAATAGTTTTTTTCATTTTGCATGTTAAAATTTGTTTTTAAAACCCAACTTTTGTGTTACCGTTGGGGGTTTTCCCCTTTTTTAAAAATTTTTTAAAATTTTTGAACAATTTTTTGATGAATTTACAAAAAAACTGTTAATAAGGTTTTTTTAAAACAGTTTTAAATTTTCTTTGGGTTTTTAAAAGGGGCCCACGGCAAATTTTTTTTACCCTATTTAATTTTAAAGTAAACTTTTAAAATCCCAGATACAAATTAACTTTATTTTGTTTTATTTAAAAAAATAAAAAAGTAATTTCAAAAAGTTGAGACAAGACTGCTTTTTGCAAAATTGGTTTTTTAACCTCATTTTTCCCCAAAGGGAAAATTGACAGATTTTTTGAAAGAAAAATTTAAAATTTTGATCCTATAAAATGAACCTGTATAAGAGATTGTGATATTTCAGTGCTGATTTTATAATGGACTTTAGTATTTTCAGTGTATGACCTTCAAATTGTAGTTACATAGTCACATCATGTGTGAGAGTTTGCATTTCAAAGTGGATAATTTATTTCTCTTCTTCCATTGACTTACATTTTAGTTTTGAAGTTACTGCTCTCAAATTTTGACCTAAACTACAGTTTTATATAAATTAACTTATTGATGTTTAAAATTTGATGAAACGATATTCAAGTGACCCATCTAAATTCTTTTTAACTTCAGATAATTGAAACAAATTTGAAAAATTGGGAAATTTTAAAAAAAATTTTTCCTTTCTTTGCTTTTTAAAAAGTTTTCCCCATATACCCACCAAATAAATTTGATTTTGATTTCACCAAAATGGGGCACTAACGTTTCACAAAAATTTTTTCGTTTTTAATGAAAATAAAAGTCAAAAACGAAATCAATTTAAATTCTCGATACTTTAACACTTAACTGCACAATATTAGCAATCAGTATTACCAAAAATCTAAATTTTCACATTTTTGTAACATGAATATTATAAGTCATGAAAGCATGATATGCTGGATTTGTATGTGATTGGAAAAACAATTTCTTGAATTGAAGATTTTTTATGCCCCCACAAAGTGGGGAGCATATAGTGTTGCACTTGTCCATCCGTGCGTACGTCTGTCCGTCCATATGTCCCGAAATCTTGTAAAGCGGATGGCAGATTTTGCTTAAACTTCCAGGGATGAACAACCTAAATGTGTAGATGGTATTAAAGGAAGAAATTTTCGCTGCGACCAAATTGAACAGAATTATGGCCCTTTGTTAATTTTTTCACTTTATACCATATAGAAATTTTGTGAACGCAACTCCTCTTAAACCGGATGGCAGATTTTGCTTAAACTTCCAGGGATGAACAGCTTTAATGTGTGGATGGTAGTAAAGGAAGGAATTTTTGCTGTGACAAAATTTAGCAGAATTATGGCCCTTTGTTGATTTTTTCACTATATACCACATAAATAATTGAACATATAAATTTTACATTTGTAATTTAATTTAACATGTACATAAGGTTACCTGTAGATCATTTTAGGTACATGTACAGAAATGAAACTGTGGAATGAAAAAGTTCCACATTAAAATCTTACATTCAGATATGCATGCTCTTGTTTACGAGCACATCTGCACAGTGGGGGCATCCGTGTCCTTTGGACACAGTTCTAGTTTTATGATAGAAAAATATTGTTACCATGGCATCACCTAGCTGATGTTTCAGCAAATATCAATGGTGTTTTACAATTTTAGACATAGTGCATTTATGCTGTCTTCAAATGTCTTAATAAAAAAAAAGAAGATTCACAGAACAATAATATACAAAATATACATTTTACACTTACAAAAGTAAATCAGTAAATTTTAATTTACTAATTAACGTTTTACATTCATCAAGTGGTTCAGCTGCATTGGTTTAGGGGTTTGTGTAGCTTGTAAAACAATAAACAAGTAGAGATAGGTTTGTGTTGTAAATGGGTTTTTATTAAAGTGTGCTTCTCTTGAAAAAGTAATTCTATGGTAAGGTTTTAAAACATGTCTAGTCAGATATATAAGTCGACTTAAATTGCCTGACCATGTAACACTACCTTACAGTAGAAATTAAGGAGATTTGAAAGGGACTTTAATTCGCGTACAGTAAAAACTGTCGGTCGGTCCAGCGGTCCGTTGCATTTTCCTTGTCGGAGCATATTTCCTTGTCAAGCGCATTGAGTGAAGTGCAATGCACAAGAACATAACTCCACTTAAAACGTATTGTCCTTTGGTTCGAAAAATTCAAAACAACTTGGAACTATAACTCTGTCCAGACTTGGTAATTTAAACTAATTATTAGAGTTATTGGGGCCCTTTATCACTTGTCCACTGCTTTTTTTTGTCCTGGGCATAACTCTTTAATTGCCCACAACCATTAAACTCTATTTCAATTCTTTTACAAGGTATTCTGTTACTAGTAAACCCTTCATTTTCCCAAGCAGTCTGTGGGGTATTAATCACATTTAGTGATAGTTCTAGTTTAAACATATATTTTAACATACCACATATCATTTATAAAAAAACAAGACAGTATTAAAATTGCATGCAAAATTTGTTAAGATTATGAGCTGCACCTTTACATTAGTGTCTAAAAGTTACATATTGACAATGTACAATAGTTTTTTCCAATCTGAAACAGTCTGTTCCTTCACATGACCCATTTCGCCACTCATTGTACCAAATGATGCAATGTTTCTGTTCTTAACACTTTGTAGCCAACCTTAACAAGCCTTGAATGTATCTATTTTAAGTTGGTTGGCAAATTTGGACGCTGTGATTTGTAGCATGGAGCCAGAAACTTGAAATTCTCTTCTTTACAGCATATTTGAATCATTCGTATGTTAGGTCATTGATTTCCTTATTGCCTGTGAATTAAAATAGAATATTGATTAAAAAAAATACTTGAACATGTAAACAAAATAATGCAAACACATAAGTGTGCAAATATACAATTCAAGAACATGTATTTATTTTTATTTTAGTAATTAGTAGGTTAAGAACATGGGGTCTTGCCATTTTGCTATTAATGCATTTAATAAACAAGGAAAGTAGTAAAGTTCTTAATTTTCTAAATGAATACCTTGTTACCTGTGCAATGTTGACGCCATTTTGTTGGTACATTGTTTTCAACATCACTCATGTTTACGTAGGATTTGACTCTTCGTTTTGCTAACACCAAGCTATTCAGCAATTTTATATGCTGGCATGCCATTATCAAGTAATTTCATGGCATTACATTTCTCTTCTTACGAAAGAAAATTTCTTTTCATTGCCATTTGAACCCACAATGAAATTCGTGCAGGGCGAATAACTCCCAACAAGGTTTCAAGGTTTATTTGAATAAGTCAGTGCCCATATGTGCATGTGACAACATAAAACAGTACATACATACAAAATAATACAAAACGGCAAATAATATGTAAAAACAAAATACTACAAAATGGCAAATTATAAATGGTCATACAACTCCATGATGTAATAAAATTACAGTAATAATTGAACGGAGTTGACTGGTAATGGAGGATGTGAGAGAAAAAAATCAAAAATCATTGCGAGAAAAAACAAAGAGAAAAGACAAGTCTAACAAGCTAACATTACTTAAATAATAACATAATATTTTTGAAAAATATGGCAAGTTTCAAAAGGATATCCTTATTACTATGGTTCTTTAATTTTTCAAATTTTTAAGCACTTGGACGTTCATAGAAATATTTATCAAGATACAGCTTTCTTGAATTAACTAAATGTGAACATTCAAAAAGATAATGGAATTCGTCGCCTAAAGAGTTACTGGTACATAGATTACAAGTTCTAAGTTCTCTTGGAATATCATCAAACCTTCCTTTTTCAATAGGAAGCTTGTGATTCATACTTCTAAATTTAAAGAGAATTAAAGCTAAACTCATAGGTAACTTGCTGAGGTATGGCTCAAAACAAAAATCCTGTTTATAAATCCTTTAATTTAGACATTTACTGGAATTATTAATTGCACTTCTCCAATTTTGCATAAAATGATCATGCAGTCTTAAGTTGACAGTATTCTTGAATGAAGCAGGAGATTCCACATTTTGATTTATCCAAAATGCGACAATCCAAGATCATTTAAATTATTTCGAACAAAACAGACCCAATCTGATTTAATATTATTCAGAGTATATAAATTATGAGTTGTTCTATATAGAATGCTGATTATCTTATCATGTTTAGAATTAACTATTTTACCCCAGTATTTGAGAACTCTACTTTTA